TGTTCCTTTTATTACTTTTTCTGACAAAAACGCTGCGAAGTGGACAAAAAGAAGCAGTCTGTGCATCTTTATATATAGGCATACATATTTGTAGAAAGAAATGTCATCGCTCTTCCAAGTCCTTTCGGTTTCAGTTTGTACAAGTAGGATTACTGTAAATACATAGGCAAGTGGTGCCAGCGCTCAAGGCATTGAAGCTTGATAGGGAGGCAGCTATGGCGGAGTGCCGTGAGTGCAGAGCTCAATGGATGCTTGATTGATGCTGCCGTGACTGTAGTTTTTGTCATAATACACTTTTGTTGGACATCGCTCATTTTCAAACACAACAAGAGACACGCCACCGCAGCGCAACAAGGTTCTTGGCCAGCGGGGCAGACAGTGACAAGTGGGAAGAGCTCTTAAAGGCTGGTGAACATCCTTCATTACAATCCTGCTCACGCAAACGACGAGATTGAACAAGATCCTCTTGGACAGGGCTGGGAAGCTATGAAGGAAGACATTGCAGAGGTGTCCAACCAGGCTAGGACCTATTGACTCTTTTTTTGGGCATATCTCGGATGTGAGGATCGAACAGGAGTGACGTGGGCAGGATTTCGAGGCAAAGGAGAAAGCCAGCGTGGGGGCATCAGCGGCTAAAATGGAGGATGCCCCTCGATCTGACATGGTGCATTCACATCACCTCAAGAACAATATACATATATATATATATATGGACTGCGCTCAAAAAGCCCTACTCAAAAAATATAGATAAACGTAAACTTTTAAGGTTGGAGATGTGTTTTTAAGTCTTCGTTTAGAAGCGGGCCCCCAGCAGACTATGGTGATACAGCAAGGCAGCGCTAGATTGGCGCTAGGTTGGCGCTAGATTTCTTCATAACAGGATAAGCAAGCAGGAAAAAGAAGAAGCAAGACTAAGACTAAGACAAGAAAAAAAGAAGAAGAATGCACAACAAGAAGAAGAAGAAGAGGAAGACAAGCAAGCAGGACAAATAAGAATCTGACGGGATATAGAAATCGACGGATATTTTTGCGCTAGGCTGGCGCTAGATCCGCGCTAGCACCACGCTAGACGACGGTCCATTTCTTGACCAATCCAACATCCAAATCTTTTGAGTCAGCTCTTACATCCTTCCTACGTCGTCTTGAAGATGTCTGAGAACAAAAGTGGGGAAGTCCAGCAGCAGCAGTAGCAGCAACAACAGCTCCAGCAGCTCAACGAAAGGGTCCGCTCTAGACACCTCTCACAGCTTTTGCAGTTGACACGCCTTCATGTTTAACGCCCCTGTGGTTTGAGTGTGCTTGGAGTTTAAAGGAGATTTAGAAGCGGGCCCCCATGGAATTGCGATGAGTGCACCATTTTGGGAAAAGACATTTTGGAAACCAACCATATATATATATATTACTATTTCGATCTTGCGTAGTTAAACAATGAAAAACTGCATGCCTCAGAGTCCACCAGTTGAACCTTTGTTTAGGTGAACCATGACGAGCAACTTGCCTTGCTCGAGGAGGCGGCAAGACGCAGCGAACTCAGTAGAGAGGTAAAAGCACCAGCTTCAAACGCTGATGGTGAATGTAGGCACAATGGCACGATGTGGACAACCAGATTGGTCGCACTTTGATGCACTTTGTTGCTATTTTGTGTAGGTGGTGATAGACACCGGTGAGCCGAAAGCACGCTCGGTGGATGGTGAACAAGTGAAATCCCTTCAAATTTGTCCCTTTTATGTACACTTCTGCCAAACCACACATGATTACAGTGCATGCAGTGCATGCGCAAGAAGTCCGTAGAAGGCATGCAATGCAAGCAAGAAAAGGTGGGTGGCTGAAAGACGGGTTGGTCCTACCTTCCTTGTGTCCACAATTTTTTTTGTTTAAACAGATGTACCATGATGTACCATAAAGTTGTGTATTGTTCTTAATTTGTTCATCCTAAGGCACCATTATTGCAGCCCCACCGCCAACTTCCTGAAGTAGGAGATCACGCGGTTTACTCTTGCTGGGTCATGACCCAAGTCAGGCCTCCCTGCAACTCGCTGGTTTTCTAAGTTGAACCTTCAGATCACTGATTGCATGATATTGCATGGGCATCTTGGGGCTATAAGGCGTGGCAGTCTTTGATGAGGAGCTGCAGAAGCAACGGCAGCAGCTGATTTGCAGCTAGAATTGATCTATACATGACTCAAGGTTCAGAAATGCTCCTCTTGCTTCTGTCGCTAGGCAGATGAAGAAACGGCGGAAAGTTTTGCAGAAGCAGGGAGGTCCTGAACAGGTCCGCTACAGACTTGTGCATGTTGTGCATTCGTCACATTGAGAAGGCTGGCGAAGTCCAAGACGATGTCATTGATTTTAATCCTTGAGATATCTGAGATTGCTTATTGAGCAAGGTGGCAGATGGTTACATTGCAGGTATTGGTGGCCAATGTCGTTTGAGTGACATTTGTCGAGGAACGAAACCAATTGCAAACCAAAAAAGCAGAAATCAGGGTGGGCGGAGGTGGGTGCAATACTATAGCAGCCGCTGCATATATTATGGTATGTCATTGCTGGGGTGCCGCAGTCAGTGGTAAGATGAAGATGCAAAATGCTTGTGGTTTGTGCAGTTGTTCTGCAGGTGAAGACGGGCAGAATCTGTTTACTGTAGTTGCATTGATGCGTATCATACCCATGCATTGTTTTGTTTCGTGCGGGTTGTGTGCATTATGCAGGGCAAAGGAGCTCCACCCAAATCTCAGACGTAGATGTCGCTGCAGAGCTTGGATTGCAAAGGGGTTGAAGCGCAACAGTGGAGTAATTAGTTTCGACGTTTCAGAACCGCTAGGCCCTGGCAAACACAATCGGCAACATTTTGGAAATTATATAAAGAGCCAGCACCCTTGCGGACATATTGACACTCAACAACCAACGAGTGTCTAGGACATGAGACATGCGCAACACCGTAAGGGGCACCTAAAGCAAAGCCAGGCAAGCTTGGTCACACAAGGACCATACAATATCTATGGGTGACCCTGTAGTCACTGTCCTGCTTTCAAGCAAAACTCTAGGCATGAGCCCATGGTTTTGGTTCAACGTGTCATCGGCAGGTGCCGGACCCACTAGATGCTTGCAGAACGATGGCAGATCAAGAAGTCTTGACGAAGCTGACCAGGGAGCAGGCCTTTTGCGAAGTGTTCCAGGTAGATGCACGTGACCAAAATGAGCTTGAAGAACGGGCAGGACGAACGTGCCAAACACTCATCAGAATCGGATTTCCAACGGCACTTGGGACGGGCTTATATATTTTCTTTGGTCTCAATATGTCTCAATGGTTTCAAGGAGTTGAGCTTTCCTTGCGAGAGGGGCATTTGGAGCTTCCTTTTGAAGCTGAGTTGTTTCAGAAGTGGCCCACTGAGCACAAACCTCCCGGGCCCAGGCAGAAGCACAGGCTCAATGTCAGGCCACCCGTGGCATGCGACCGTGCAGTTTTTGCGAGGAGGCACTAGTCACTAGTGCATGGCAAAGGCTCCAACTGTTATTGAGTCATTGAGTTTGCTTGAGTTTCATGTATGAATCGAATTACAAAAACCCTTGCGTAGGGACACCACTATACGCATGAGCTTCTATGAAGAATAGTTTTGCCTTAACCTGCACATCCCCAATGACAGCGAACTTGGCCTGACACAGGCCATGGCTGCTGGCAATGGCATGTTGGATGCCTGGGAGCAACTGGGCTCAGCGTGGGCACAGATGCAGATTCTTGGCAGGCGTTTGATGCCGACTACGTTGCATAACTGAGTCTTTATTTTTTGTTCTTTTGATAATATGTTTTGATGCAATGTGTTCCCACATCTCCTTGAGCATTGCCAGGAAAGACATTGCCAAGGCCGAAAAGGACTCTTGAGTTCACATTGGGGTGAATTTGCTTGAAATGCTTGCAGCTGCTTGCAATTAAACTTGATTGCTGCAAATTTCATCACATCTTTATTTTTCAACTCCCACAGCTTTCCAATCCTTGCACGAAAAATCTGCCCTCTCAGGAGGTCTCCGAGTCCGCCCAGCTGGTCGCCATGAGCGACACCACCTGCTTGGTGAGAGCACTCGGGCTCTTGGGGGACTCAGAAGACGGTGCAGCATCGCGACGTGCAGCCCTCCAGGAGGTGTTACCTGTTACCACTTTCATCCACTTTCACTGTTAGTTAAGCAGTTGGGCCACGGCCACTGAGACTCCGAAATTTTCGACAAATGCCGCAGGCTGCCAGGCGAATTGCGGTCTTTGATGAGGCTTGAAAGAATGTGCTTCCAGCAAAAGTAGTCAAAGAGGATGATCCCAGAGCAGTCCTGCATGCGACAATAGGAATCGCTTCATCCTTGCAGGAACTCGCAAAGCAGCGGGCTGCTGGGAGCTACAGGGCTGATGGGTACCACAGATGCCATTGTTCGACCAATGAGGGATTTGTACCAACCCCCCAGCGACAATGACGCAGATGTAATCCACACCATGCCTGTGATGTCCGCTTGGGCGAAGTCCAAGGCCATGCGTCGTGAACGGGACCGCCCGCAGCAGAAGGGAGCATTTGCCCTAGGCGAGCTTGTGCCTTACTTGAGTCGACCCGCTTAAAACTAGGTAGTCTTAATCACTGCAGAAGATATACCAACCATAGGCGGCCATAGGTATGCACATACCTGTGACATATTGAGACGTATATCCTTCCAATATCTTCCAATATACACAATATTCCTGAACATACATATTGTACGTCTAGTATAAAGCAAAGTATGTATCATCTACACTGAATGCAGGAGGATACATGTGTGTGAAACAGCCAACATGCTGGACGGTATTTTGATCGAATCCAGCACCCTGGCGGAGAACAACAAAGAAGTGATTAGGCTTTATTTAACAATACGTTTTTAAGTTCACTGACTGTTTAACTTAGATGTTTTTCACTAGCTGGGTTCAGTAGGGCCCTGTCTATTGGCAGCCCGTTTCACCAGGTGCCGCCCTCCTGCAGGGCGAGGCCTTGAAAGCTTTGGCGGTGGAGAGCGCGGCGGCAAAAGCGGCCTGCGAGGCGCGAACGAAAGCGCAAAAGTCCGTGGATTACCTGCGGTTTCATGCCAGGCGGCCAAGGAGGATTGCGAAGCAGAAGCCTGGCAAGCCTGGCAGGAACCCAACAAGATAGGGTGAAGGACTGGTAGATTAAGGAAATTGCAGACCTGCAATTGCAGGACCTGCAAAAGATTTGGGGAAGTCTCCAGGCAGACTTGGCAGAGGAGAGGCTGAGTCGGTTGCAAAAAGAAATTGCAAGTTGGTGGCTAGCTGACTTCAGTGACAACAAGTGGTCTGTGTTTCTTGGAACCGTGGATTGCCCACCCGATGAGGACGTGAACCCAGCTCTTGACAGAACTGTCCATTCATTTGGTTTGATGTTTGTTTGGTTTGATGTGGCTTGGGCTCCCTGACTTTGAGCACTGGAGCTTCAGATGCCTGGGCAGGCTACCCGGGAAACGGCAGAGACAGCCAGTGCAGCTCAGAAGGCTTGAATAATTTTTATGAAATTGTGAGAAGTCCCCAAACTCCAATTCGCCGACATTCCGTGCACAGAACAGGGCATCATGACAATTGCGGAAACCTTGCTTCAGACTTCAGCTTTCATTTGGTTTCGGCCCAGCGGCTCCCCAGGACTCAAAAGTAAATAATTTTCCTTGCCTTCTATTCAATCTACATACATAGTATATATATAATTATATATATAATATATATATAGGTGGCTGAGGAGTCATTTTTGAAGGACCAACTCGTGCCGATTAACCAACTCTTTGCAGGCCTCTGAAGCTTTGTGTGCCCATGAGTTAACCACTGCGGCCCGGCGAGTCATGGCTTTCGAACACCAGCTGGGCCAGTTGACCGGTGACTCGGCAGCATCTGGCAAATATTGATTCTTGGGTGATGTGATTCGTTCCTTCTGTCAGAAAGGTAAGCAATTCCACATGTTGGTTTGCTCTGCCAATGTCACACCTCGATT